CGAGTCTCCGGCCTGGCGGCCCTGCCCGGCGTGAAGGTTTCCTGCCTCCCCAAACTCGTTCTCCCGGAACACCGGGTGGGGCCGGCTGGATCCCCGTTTAAAATGGAAGAAACCCCAAAGGCGATTGAGAAATAGCTTTGTCAGGGTGTCCTCTGCCCGCGTGCCCTCCCTTCGTGCCTGTGCCCTTCAGGGAGCAACCACAGATGGCTGGGGAAACTGAGGCCTGGGGAGGGAAAAGGGTGGAGGGGGCATCCTGCACCCAGATGAAGCAGCATGTTGGAGTGTGGGCAGATTGCTTGGAGAGGAAGGCCCAGGCTGTGAGGCGGTGGGGTTTGCTGGGACCGTTTCCTTGGATTTGAGGACTCAGTCCTGCCTCCGTGGGCTTGGGCCAGTGAGTCAGCCGTGGCCGGGAGGGTGGCAGGCCCAGCCCCTTTGACAAATAGGAAAGGGCAGGGAATTGACACCTGGACTGCATCCCCAGAAGCCCCCCTCGCCTTGGGGGTCACAGAAGGGGTTAAACTGGGTTGGGGCAGGGCAGGCATCCCAGGGGCAGACGCCTGCCAAAGTCAACACCTAGGCCCTGGAGGGGCTCCATCCAGCTGGCAGCCCCCCCAGCTCACACCTGGGCCACGCCAGCTGCTCCCACTGGGGCAAAGTCCACACCTGCAGAGCCTGGTTCCTCAGCGGCCAGAGGAAGCACCCTGTGTGCCCCCCTCCCCTCCGCCTTGCATTTGAACCCCTTGCTAAGCCTCTGGGCTGCAAGACAGAAAGGGCCTCCCGCCCCCACCACAGTAAACACTCTCGCCAGAGGGTGTGAAGATTAAACAGCCGTCACGATTATTGTGCACCAACTACAGGCCAGGCTCTGTCTTATGACCGTTATGTGCGTCAGTAACCTCCCACTGGAAGGAATGTGACCGTCCGCCTCAGGGGTGGGCTTTTTTCTGTCTTCTTCACAGCCCTGTCTTCAGGGAGTACAGATTAGACACTCAAGTAGTGTTTGTTGAATGAATAAAGACTCATGGTGGCTCATGCCTATCATCCCAGCACTTTGGGAGGCTGAGGCGAAAGGATTGCCTGAGCCCAGGGGTTTGAGACCAGCCTCGGCAACTTGGCGAGACTTCATCCCTACAATAAATCAAGGAAAATTAACCAGGCATGGTGGTGCACGCCTGTAGTTCCAGTTACTTGGGAGCCTGAGGTGGAAAGATTGCCTGAGCCCAGTAGGTCGAGACTGTGGTGGTCATGAGCATGCCACTGCACTCCATCCCAGGTGACAGAGTGAGACTCTGACTCAAAAAAAAAAAAAGAAAGAAGCTCGAGTCAGGCATGGTATCTCATGCCTGTCATCCCAGCACTTTGGGAGGGTGAGGCAGGAGAATCGCTTGAGGCCAGGAGTTCAGGGCCAGTCTGGGCAACATAGTGAGACCCCATCGAAGGAAGAAAGGAAGGAAGGAAAAGATACTCTTTCAGACAGGGAATATGACGAACATTCCATTTGTCAGAAGGGAATATTGAGGTCCAGCGAGATCAAGCAATGCTTCCAGGGTCACTTGACTTCGAAGTGGCAGGACCGGGATTTGAACCCAGGCCTGGTTTGTGCCCCAGAGCTGTTACCATTCTTGGATTCCCCTGCAGGTCCCCAGGCATCCCCATCTGAGGACTTCAGGCCTCCCCCCGCCCCAGACTCCTGCCAAGATGGCCTCCGCCGGAGAGCCTCCCGCGGGCCCCCGGGATGCAGCCGATCAGAACTTCGACTACATGTTCAAGCTGCTCCTGATTGGCAACAGCAGCGTGGGCAAGACGTCGTTCCTGTTCCGCTACGCCGACGACTCCTTCACGCCCGCCTTTGTCAGCACCGTGGGCATCGACTTCAAGGTCAAGACCGTCTACCGCCATGACAAGAGGATCAAGCTGCAGATCTGGGTGGGCCAGGCGGTGGTCTGTGGGTCTGGGGTGGGCGAGGGGGTCCCTCCAGGGAAGTTCGCCTGAGGTCTCAGGCTGCGGGGAGGGTTCCCAGGTGAGGCAGAGTGGTCCAGAGCTGGGAAGGGTCGGGGCAGGTGTGGCGAGTGGGTGTGGTCTATGAGGTGAATTTATCAGGAGGAGGGGGACACGCCCCACCCGGGGGGTTCCCATGAGGGTACAGTACTAGCCCAAGGCATGTTCAGGGTGCTGGTGGCATCCAGTGCTGTGGTTCAGGCCTGTAATCTTGGGAGGCCGAGGGGGGAGAATCATTTGAGGCCTGGAGTTTAAGACCAGCCTGGGCAACATAGCCAGGCCCCGTCTCTACCAAAAAAACATACAAAATGAGTGGGGTGTGGTGGTACATGTCTGGGTCCCAGCTACTCGGAAGGCTGAGGGGAGAGGATTGCCTGAGCCCAGGAGGTTGAGGCTGATCGTGTCCCTGCATTCCCAGGTGAAAAAAAAGTGCTGGTGACCATCTCAGGGGTAAACCCAGGGAGCCCCGTTGAGCCCGACTGGTCTTTAGAGCTACACCCACCCCTCCCAACCCAGCTGCTGGTAATGATCATCATGGTAACCAGTGCACCGAGGTGTCCTATCAGGGTGGTCCCCTCTGGCCCAGGTGGCACTTGGTGGTGGTCATTAAGTTGGTTCTTGGAGATGAGGCCCAAGGGCTCATAAGTCTGGGAGAAGCCACTTACCCCTCAGACGGGGAACCCCTCAAGGGCACAGCCATGTATCTCCCCCATCAGACTGAGGGGTCCCTTGAGAATGAGAGCATGCCTCCCCCCTCAGACTGGGCCTGTGTAGACAAGGCTGTGCCTCCGCCATCAGACGGGGGCTGCAAGCATATGGAAGGGCCTCTCTCAGACAGGGCCCTGAAAAGGCGGGGTGGGAACAGGGTGGCTTCTGGCCATCTGACACGGCTGTTTGCCTAGGACACGGCGGGCCAGGAGCGCTACCGTACGATCACCACGGCCTACTACCGCGGTGCCATGGGCTTCCTGCTCATGTACGATGTCGCCAACCAAGAGTCCTTTGCTGCCGTGCAGGACTGGTGAGTGCTTGCTGACCGCTGACCCCCAACCTTTGCCCTCTCTCCTGACCTCCCACCCCGGCTCATGGCTGGCAACCCCACAGGGCCACGCAGATCAAAACCTACTCCTGGGACAACGCCCAGGTCATCCTCGTGGGGAACAAGTGTGACCTGGAGGACGAGCGTGTCGTGCCTGCCGAGGATGGCCGGAGGCTTGCCGACGACCTTGGTGAGTGCCCGACCCGGACCCCAGGCCCTGGATCTCCCAGAACCAAAGCCCCGTCTGCACCCTCAGGTCTCAGATCCAGCCCCAGTCACCAGCCCTTTGAGGCTCTGCCCAGAAACGGCCTGTGTGTGCCACCTTTACCTTTTAATTGAGGGGACCCATCACAGGAACCCCCACCCCGCAGCCGTGCCCTGAGAACCTAGCAAAACCACTTCCGGCAATGTATCCTGCAGGTACCCTCACCCACGGGGGAAGTGTTTTCTACGACGTGTGAGAGCTCAGCCTTGGCCTGCCTCTAGATGGCTCACAGAGGGAGACCAACTAAACAAAAAGTGTGCTCACATGGTCACCCAGTGACTTGGGAGGCTGAGGCAGGAGGGTTGCATGAGCCCAGGAGTTTGAGACCAGCCTAGACAACATAGCGTGGCCCTGTCTCTACAAAAGCTTTTTGAAATATTAGCTGGGCATGGTGGCATGTGCTTAGAGTTCTAGCTACTTGGGAGGCCGAGATGGAAGAATTCCTTGAGTCCCAGAGGTCGAGGCTATGGTGAGCTATGATTGCACTACTGCACTCCAGCTTGAGCAACAAAGAGAGACCCTGACTCTAAAAAATAAAGAAATAAAGTGTATTCACTTGGTGGAATACTATGCAGCTGTGGAAAAGGAAGACACTCTTGTTTCCATTCTCATGTGGCAAGATCTCTGGGATATGGGGTTAAGTGGAAAAGTCAAACTTCAGAAGAGCAGATATGCCGGATATTTCTAGTCTTGGGTCACCCGTCCTTTTTTTTTTTTTTTTTTTTGAGTTGAAGTCTCACTCTGTCGCCCAGGCTGGAGTGCAGTGGCACACTCATGGTCACTGCAGCCTCGACCTGCTGGGCTCAGGCGATTCTTCTGCCTCAGTCTTCCAAGTAGCTGGAACCACGGGTGTGCGCCATCTCACCCAGCTAATTCTTTAATTTTATTTTATCGTGGAGACAAGGTCTCGCCAGGTAACCCAGGCTGGTCTTGAATCCCTGGGCTCAGGCAATCCTCTGGCCTCTGCCTCCCAAAGTGCCACGACTATAGGTGTGAATCACTGCGCCTGGCCAGACCTCTTCTTAAAGGGCCAGAGAGGAAATATTTTTGGGTATACATTCTCTGTGGCCATTGCTTAGCTTTGCTTGAGCATCACCAGCAACAACACATAAATGAATGGGTGAGACCATCTGCCAATGAAACATTTACAAAGGCAGTCAATGACCAGATTTGGCCTGTCAGTCCCTGCATTCACATACAAATACGGTGAGAGTCAGAAAGTTTCTTTATTTTTGAGTCGGGGTCTCACTCTGTTGCCCAGGCTGGAGTGCAGTGGCATGATCATGGCTCACCAAAGCCTTGATCTCCTGGGCTCAGGCGATCCTCCCACTTCAACCTCCTGAGTAGCTGGGACTACAGGAACATGCCACCACGCCTGGCTCATATTTTGATCTTTTTGTAGAGATGAGGTCTCATTATGTTGCCCAGCCTGGTCTCAAACTCCTGGGCCCAAGCAATCCATCCATCTCAGCCTCTCAAAGTGCTGGGATTACAGGCGTGAGCCACTGTGCTTGATGGCTGCCATTTTTATCAGCAGCAGCAACAGCAACATAGGTGTTCCCACTTACAGGTGAGCAAACTGAGGCTGGGAGCGGCAATGGCACTCAGCCAGGATCCAACAGTAGTATCTAGGGCAGAACTGGGCTCGGAGCCTGCGATGCGGCAACCCAGGCCCTGCCTCAGGGGTCTCACAAGCCACCTTCTGTCCGTCCAGGTTTCGAGTTCTTCGAGGCCAGCGCCAAAGAGAACATCAACGTGAAGCAGGTCTTTGAGCGCCTGGTGGACATCATCTGTGAGAAGATGACAGAGTCACTGGAACCTAGCCCCAGTTCAGGCAGCAATGGGAAAGGCCCAGCCTTGGGGGATGCCCCGCCCCCCCAGGCCAGCAGCTGTAGCTGCTAAAGATGGCCCCTGGCCCCCCACCCCTCCTGCCTCTGCAGGGACTGTCTCCAAGCTCAGGGCAACCCCTTCCCTCCCGCCAGCCGCCCCCCACTCCTGCATGGCTCACTCCTTCATGCACAGGCTGCAGACCTGGGACAGAGCCCTGCATTGCCAGCAGGGCCTGGGGACGGGATGTGCATGAGCTTGCTGCTTCTCAGGGTGTGTGAAGAGGGTGGCCATGGGCGGCGTGCCCCCACCCCCACCTGATGCCTTCTGGGTCAGAACCACTTTCCAGACCATCCTGCATTGGGCGTGGGATTCATGAGCTGCCCTGGATGGTTGATATTCTCCCGTGTGCTGAGTGGGTTCTCAAGTTCATCTCGGGAGGTGAGGAAGGCCACTTCTCTTTCTCAGGTCCCACTGTCTGTTCCCTGAGCCCGCCCCTGGAACATGGTGGTGTAGGCCCCCGTAGATCCTCTACCTGTGAAAGTAGTATTAAGACAGCTTTGACCAGGCGCAGTGGCTCACGCCTATCATCCCAGCACTTTGAGAGGCTGAGTCAGGAGGATCACTTGAGGCCAGGAATTCAAGACCAGCCTGGGCAACATAGTGAGATGCTCATCTCTCTATGAAAAAAAAAAATGAAACCAAAGGCTGTGGTTCGTTCCCCCCACCCCAGCTCCAAGGGGGACCAAAAGGCAAGGGAAAAAAGCGGCTTTTCCCATACTAGAAGGGGTAAGGGGTCAAGGACTCAGGAGTTCTAGAAGTGCCTTCCAAGCTTCCCGAGAGCCCACGTCACCCATGACCCAGCCACTGTTTTGCTGTATTTGCTATGTCTCCGACCTGGGTTGAATTCTGGAGCTCTGGGCTGTATCCGGCAGGGCAGGGATTCGCCTAACCCCAAGCTCCCTGCCAGGGGCTCACCTCCAAGCCAAGGCCCAGGGCCCTCCCACCCAGCTCTGTTTGGCTGCTTGAGTTTTAAGCAAGATCTTTCCAAATTGCACATCCTGCTAGAAAGGAAATTGGGCAACGTTCCCACAGCCTGCATTCACTGGCGACTTCCCAGTATGACAACCTGGACTTCTAGACTCAGGGACCCTTGAAGACCTCATGACCATTTCTCGAGCCGTGTCCTCGACAGGCCCGGGTGATGGAATGTGTTTTTCCAATGGGGAAAACTTCTAAGGGACGCTTTGTGGTTGTGCAGAAGGGGTGAGAAGGCCAGTCGTGTGACCTGCCATCTCTGCGTATTTCATGGAGACAGCTTGGGAGTGGCGGATCCTTCTGCTGACGAGGCGTGGGCTGTGGTCAGTGTCGGGAGTCCACAAAGCCGGCATCCCCACCTGCCAGCATGCAGGTTACGTGCAGTTTGGTGATCGGTCTCTTGACCCCCCACTTCCAGCTCAGTGGCTCTTCCTGGCCACCAGAGTCCAATCTCCAGTGGCATGGCACCTTTCTGCCACAGAACACCAACTGACACCCCACAATATGACCAACACTGTGAGAATGGCTAAGCGGATGGTTTATATTCCCATTTTCCTGAATCCATATCAAGGGCTTTGTCCATTCCCCCATCCCCTGCAGGCTTAAGAGCTCAGACTCCTCCTGGGGCTCTGTGAGGGAGAAGGCCTGGTTCAAGTTTGAGTTTATTTCTAGGGACCCCATTTATGTCCTACTAGAGGCTGCTCTTAGAACTTCAAAGTGGGACAGGCGCAATGGTGCATACCTGAAATCCCAGCACTTTGGGAGGCCAAGGCAGAAGGACTGCTTGAGCCCGGGAGTTTGAGACCAGCCTGGGCACCATACTGAGATCTCATCTCTACAAAAATTAGCTGGGCATGGTGGTGACACCTATAGTCCCAGCTACTTGGGAGGCTGAGGCAAGATGATTGCTTGAGCACAGAAGGTCCAGGCTGCGATGAGCCAAGATTGCGCCACTGCGCTCCAGCCTGGGTGACAGAGTAAGACTTTGTCTCTCAAAAAGCAAAAACAAAACAAAACTTCAATGAGGATTACTTTGTATACTAACAAATTAGATGACCAAGATGAAATGGGAAAAGTTCCTATAAACATACAAAGTGAGGGTATCTAAGTATTTGGGGTGGGAGCCCATTTTTTTTTTTTTTTTAGTTGCTTTAACATTAAAGTCAGATTAAAGCATCTAAAAAAAAGACTTCTTAAAATGCATGTGGCCTGTCAAGGTTTGGTCCATTGTTCTTAAGCTTCCACCCCAAAAAGTGGTAACTCAGACTGCTTTGAACAGGGCTGAGCTGCCTTGTGATTGCCTATGTGATAAAAACAAAAACAAAAAAAGAAACAGTTTTGGTTGCTTCTTGTACCCTGGTCTAAACTTTCTGATTGCATAATATTTTTTTTCAACAGTAAAGTTTCAAGTAGCAACTGTGAGAACTGCCTGTGGGTTCTCCCAAGACTGGGAATAATGTGGGAAAAGAAATTTTTTTTGTTTTGCCTAAAAATAAGGCAAGTTTGTATTTTATGATTTTTTTTCAGAGACGGGAAGGTTTAATTTCAGATGGTTTCTGAGGAACTGAAATTCATGTCTGAACAGATCACCTTGGGTGGGGAGGGAGATTTATTGAGTTTACAAACAGAAATTAAACCTAAGGCCGTGAGAAAATCGCTTCCTGGTGCCAAGGAATGATGTCAGAAGCAGCTGCCTCCCAGTGCCTTCCATCTTAACAGGCAGCTTTGGTGGAACATAACCACAACCACAGTGGTTTAGGGTTCTCCTTTTTATTCCTTTTCCTCTTTGTCTTTTTGACTTCTCTCAGGATCAGGTTCTTCATCTTTCACTTCTACTCAGAAAAACAAGTAAAGGGTAAGCAAGGCACAGAGACTCACGCCTAATAATCCCAGCACTTTGGGAGGCCAAGGTGGGAGGATTGCTTGAGCCCAGGAGTTCAAGAACAGCCTGGACAACATAACATACTCTACAAAAAATACTAAAAAGAAAAAAATGTAGCTGGGTGTCATGGTGTACACCTATAGTCTCAGTTGCTTGGGAGACTGAGGCGAAAAGGATTGCTTGAGCCCAGGAGGTCGAGGCTGCAGTGAGGTATGATTGCACCACTGCACTCTGGCCTGGGCAACATAGCAAGACTCTGTCTCTACAAAAAAATTTTAAAGAAAGAAAAACAAGGCCGGGAGCAGTGACTCGTGTCTATAATCCCAGCACTTCAGGAGGCGGAGGCAAGAGGATTGCCTGAGTCCAAGGGTTCGAGACCAGCCTGGGCAATGTGTCGAGACTTCGTCTCTACGATAAATCCAAAAATTAGCCAGGCTTGGTGGCATATGCCTGTAGTTCCAGCTACTTGGAAGGCTGAGGCAGAAGGATTGCCTAAGTCCAGCAGGTCAAGGCTGTAGTGACCATGAGCTTGCCACTGCACTCCAGCCTGGGAGACAAAGAAAGGCTCTGGGTGAAAAAAAATAAAAACAAGTAAAGGGTGAAATTTGGTCTCTGTGTTGAAGCACTCACTCTGCTGCTGACTCCTCCCTGGCAATTCTGATCACTATTGAGCATGCTCTTGGCTGGCCATTGCTATCCTGGATGTGGGTCTTCTCTGTAGGGATTTCTTGATGTCTGATTTGGAAAGGCATATACTTTTCGCCACATACACAAAATAAATAATTTGTTATACTCAAATGTGTGTGCCTTTTTTTTCTTTTTCTTTCTTTCTTTTTTTTTTTGAGTCGGAGTCTCACTGTTGCCTAGGCTGGAGTGCCAGGCTGATCTTAAACCCCTGGGCTCAGGCAATCCTCTCGCCTCCGCCCCCCAAAGTGCTCGGATTACAGGTGTGAGCCCCAGTGCCTGGCATGTGTGTGCTTTTATTTCCATGACTGAAATGTGGTTTCCAGTTGGATGCAGTGGCTCACACCTGTAATCCCAGCATTTTGGGAGGATGAGGCGAGAGAGCATCACTTGAGGCCAGGAGTTCCAGACTAGCTTGGGCAACACAGACCCAGACACTACAAAAAAAAAAAATTACCCAGGCATGGTGGCACGCACCTGTAGTTCTAGCTACTTGGGAGGCTGAGACAGAAGAATTGCCTGAGACCAGGTCAAGGCTGCAGTAGCTATGATCATGCCGCTGCACACCAGTCTGGGTGACAGAGTGAGACCTCAACTACAAACAAACAAACAAACAAACAAACAGTTTTCAGGAAAGAGGGTGTTGGTTAACAACTAAGTAGATGGTTAGTCAGGGCCATCCATACAGCAAAACCCTCACCAGGACAGGAGCTGCCAGGAGCCAGGTCCCAAGGCTTGAAAGAAAGTCCTTGACCCTAGAAAGTCCTGCTGTGAGAGAGGCACAGAGGACAGTGCTTCCCCATGTAATCCCAGTAAGAAGGTCAGTCCTGAGGACCAAACTCTGACCATTTTTCTTTACCTTGCCAAATTCCTTAGGGGCCTGGAGAGTCAGGCTTTTTATTAATTATGTCAAATGTCGTTCACTTTCCATCCTGGCTCTGGCGTAAATTCACATCACAGATGAAGGAAAATCAAAGTATGTTATGACCCTGTCTAGCTGTCTTTTGGGGACTTTACAACATTTACCTGGTGGGACGGGTGGCTCAAGCCTGGAATCCCAGCACTTTGGAAGGCTGAGGTGGGAGGATCGCTTGAACCCAGGAGTCTGAGACCAGCCTGGGCAACTTGGTGAGACCTCATCTCTAAAAAAAAAATTTTTTTTAAGTTTATAAAAGACATCTATCCCAGTACTTTGGGAGTCTGAGGTGAGAGGATTGCCTGAACCCACAGGTTCAAGACCAACCTGAGTAATCTAGCGAGACCTCATCTCTACAACAAATCAAAAAAAATGAGCCAAGCATGGTGGCACATGCCTGTAGTTCCAGCTACTTGGAAGGCTGAGGCGGAAGGATAGCCTGAGCCCAGCAGGTCGAGGCTGCGGTGACCGGGAGCATGTCACTGCACTCCAGCTTGGGTGACAGAGTGAGACTCCAGCTAAAAAAAAAAAAAAAAAAAAGACATCTCTCTTTGAAGTATGCCACCACCCAGGAGGCTTCATTTATGTGTCAAGAAACCTGCGGGCTCGCTCACCAGCCATCTTGGCGGCTGCTTTTGGTTGGGGGCCATCCCGCACCTAAGGCAGGAAGATGGTGGCCACAAAGAAGATGAAAAAGTCGCTGGAATCCATCAACTCAAGACTCCAACTCGTTATGAAAAGTGGAAAGTACGTGTTGGGGTACAAACAGACTCTGAAGATGATCCGACAAGGCAAAGCGAAGTTGGTCATCCTCGCCAACAACTGCCCGGCTTTGAGGAAATCTGAAATAGAGTACTACGCTATGTTGGCCAAAACTGGTGTCCATCATTACAGTGGCAATAATATTGAATTGGGCACAGCGTGTGGAAAATACTACAGAGTATGCACACTGTCTATCATTGATCCAGGTGATTCTGATATCATTAGAAGCATGCCAGAACAGACTGGTGAAAAGTAAATCATGCAAAATTGTTCTTTATAATAAAACTTGGCAGAGCTTGTTTCAAAAAAAAAAAGAAAGAAAGAAAGAAAGAAACCTGCCGGGCTCAGTGGCTCAGTCTGTAATCCCACACCTTTGGGAGGCTGAGGTGAGTGGATTGCCTGAGCCCGCGGGTTCGAGACCCGCCTGGGCAGGCGAGACCTCATCTCTACAATAAATCAAAAAATCAGCCGGGCGTGGTAGTGCATGCCTGTAATTCCGGCTACTCGGAAGGCTGAGGCGGAAGGATCGCCGGAGCCCAGCAGGTCGAGGCTGCGGTGGCCGGGAGCGGCCACTGCACTGCAGTCTGGGCGACAGAGTGAGACTCCAACTCAAAAAAAAAGAGAGAGAGAAACCTGATTCCCTCATCCTTCCTCAATCTGCACATTTCCTTTATTGTTTTAAGAATTTCTTCATAACTCTAACTAAATGCCAGTCAGGACATTTTTGAATCCACTTATTATGTGCAACTGCCCCCCATCCTTACAGATTTCTGCCTTCCTGGACCAAACTCATGTGAATCTCATGTGTATTGATCTATGGTTTTCTATAACTGCTGTCCTCCCATATAATTCAAACACACATTCTCAGGACCTGCTGGGCACAGATGCTATGGGCCCAGGCCACTCATACTTGGCTCAGAATAAACCGTCTTAAATATTTTGTAGAATTTGGGATCTTTTGTGAAGAGTCCTCCCCACAGGGCAACCTCTTTCAGGTCCTCTCCCACTGTGGGAGCTTTTCTGTCTTCTTTTTTTTTTTGAGTTGGAGTCTCACTCTGTTGCCCAGACTGGAGTGCAGTGGCTGCTCCCAGCCACCGCAGCCTTGACCTGCTGGGCTCCGGCGATCCTTCCGCCTCAGCTTTCCGAGTAGCTGGAACTACAGGCGCACACTACCATGCCTGGCTAATTTTTAATTTATTGTAGATATGAGGTCTTGCCAAGTTGCCCAGGTGGGTCTCAAACCCTTCTTTATAAATCCCACTTAAAAGAAAAAAAAAAGAATCCCCCCCAGAGCAGCCAGAGGGCACCTGCGAACACCTGAGTCAGGGCATGTTACTCCTCGGCTCAGAACCTTTCATGGCTCCCACTGTACTTGGAGTAAATTTCAAAATCCTTCCTGTGGCTCCAAGGCCCTGAATGATGTCACCAACCCCACCTCACCCTCATCTCCCTGCTGCACACATACTGCTATTTCTTTCTCTCTCTTTTTTTTTGTAGAGACGAGGTCTTGCCAAGTTGCCCAGGCTGGTCTCGAACTCAGGTCTCGGTCAATCCTCACGCCTCAGCCTCCCGAAATGCTGGGATTACAGGTGTGAGCCACTGTGCTCGGCGAGGTGCTGCTATTTGAACAACCAGGCTGTGGCCTCAAGGCCTTTGCACTGGCTGTGCCCACTGCCTGGACCACTCTTGCCCAGGGAGTTACATTGCCCCTCTCACCTTCTCCTTCAGGGTTTCTGAAAATCCCACCTTCTCATTGCCTCCTCCACTTAGTACTGTAACCACCTCCCCAAGTATTTCTGATGCCCCCCCCCCACGGTCCCTAAAATCTTAACTACTATGTCACTTATTCATTAAACTTTTTTTTATTAGAGAGGAGGGTCTCACTATGTTGCCCAGGCTAGTCTCAAACTCCACCTCAGCCTCCCAAAGTGCTGGGATTACAGGCATGAGCTACTGTGCCAGGTTGTATTCATTTAGCTTAAACAAGTGTCTCCTCCCCGATCATGTTATCTCCTCATTGCAGGGATTTTTTGCCTTTTTTTTTTACTGCCACACCCAGCTCTGTTCCGACTATGGTGTAATAAAAACAATAAATATTTGGTCTTTGTCCTTGGTGGTTCCTGGCACTCAGCTCCTATAACCCTTGAAATCTCTGGAGAGATAAGAATGGCTTTTGTTATTTTATTTTTTTAATGACAGGGTCTTGCTCTGTCTCCCAGGCTGGAGTGCAGTGGCACAATCATAGTCCGCTGCAGTCTCAACCTACTGGACCCAAGGAATCCTTCTGCCTCAGCCTCCCCACTAGCTGGGACTACGGGTGCCACCATACCTGACTAATTTTTAAATTTTGTTTAGAGCCAGGCCTGTAATCCTAGCACTTTGGGAGACCAAGACTGGAGGATCACTTGAGCCCAGGAATTCAAGACCAGCCTAGGCCACACAGTGAGACCTTAAAATTAAAAAGTTAGCTGGGTGTGGGGGCATGCACCTGTAGTCGCAGCTACTCCAGCGGGATCACCTGAGCCCAGGAGGTCGAGGCTGCAGTGAGCTGTGATCGAGCCTCTGAACTCCAGCCTGGGCAACAGAGGGAGACTCCTGACTCAAAAAAATAAATAGGCTGGACGTGGTGGCTTATGTTTATAAACCCAGCACTTTGGGAGGCCAGGGTGAGAAGATTGCCTGAGCCCATGGGTTCAAGACCGGCCTGGACAACTTGGCGAGACCTCATCTCTACAACAATCAAAAAATTAGCCGGACATGGTAGCGCATGCCTGTAGTTCCAGCTACTTGGAAGGCTAAGCTGGAAGGATCGCCTGAGCCCAGCAAGTCGAGGCTGCAGCGGCCGTGAGCGTGCCATTGCACTCCAGCCTGGGCAACAGAGTGAGACTCCAACTCAATAAGTAAGTAAACAAAAACAAATGTTATGTAGAGACGAGGTTTCTCTGTGTTGTCCTGGCTGGTCTCGAATTCCTGGCCTCAAGTGATCCTCTCGCCTCAGCCTTCCAAAGTGCCACCTCAGCCTATCCAAAGTGGGATAACAGGTATGAGCCACCGTGCCCAGCCTGAGTCTTGGCTGTTTTCAGGAGTTTATTGAAAAACGGCACTGAGCATACAAACATCCAAGCTGACAGCTGGCTAGGGGCTCAAGGCCTCTTCAGTCCTCCTTGACCCTCACCCTTGAGGCCACCCAGATTCCTCTCAGATTCAGAGAAAGGACAAAGCCCCAAGGACCTCGGCTCTGTCTTGCTCGACTGCCCCGCCCCCTCTCCAGCACTTTCCTGGCATCCGTGTTTCTGCTGCGGGTCACACCAGTAACTCTCTTCCACCTATTTGTGCAGACATGGGAGGTGGCGCTTAAGCGTGACTGGACATCCTACGTTATTACTTACTGTATGAACTTGAAGAAGTAACTATATCTTCCTGTGCCTCAGTCTCCCCATCTGTAAATCTTGTGATCTCCCTCACAAGAGTTTGTGAGGATTAAAAGAATCTGCCGAGCCAGGCTCGGTGGCTCAGCCCGTAATCCCGCGCCTTTGGGAGGCTGAGGTGAATGGATGGCCTGAGCCCGCGGATTCGAGACCCGCCTGGGCAACTTGGCGAGACCTCATCTCTACAATAAATCAAAAAATTTGCCGGGTGTGGTCGCGCACGCCTATAGTTCCCGCTACTTGGAGGGCTGAAGCGGAAGGATCACCGGAGCCCAGCGGGTCGAGGTGGCGGTGGCCGGGAGTGGCCACTGCACTCCAGTCTGGGCGACAGAGTGAGACTCCAACTCAAAAAAAAAAAAAGAATCTGCCCAGGTGTGGTGGCTCATGCTTGATCCCAGCACTTTGGGAGGCTGAGACAGGAGGATCCCTTGAGCCCAGCTATTCGAGGCTACAGTGAGCTGTGAGCATGCTGCTACACTCCAGCCTGGGTGACAGAGAGAGACGCTGTCAGAAAGAAAGAGAAAGAGATAAAGAGAGAGAGAGAGAGGAAGGAAGGAAGGAAGGAAGGAAGGGAAAAGAACAGAACTAAGGGTCACCATGGCTACTGTCTAGAGTGGTCACAACATTCTAGGGTTTGTGCTAAACATCTCCTTGCACCCTCCCATTGTGGCTCCAAACCTTCCATGGCGCCCAGCTTCCTTGGCATGGAAGCTGAACTCCTCAGTTTGGGTCCTCCACATCTGCCTTTCTCACCTCCCTCTGTCACCTCCCCCACTGTCCCCTTTCTTCACTCAGCTCCAAGCACACAGGTTGCTTTGTTGTTCCTCAAATACACTTAGCAAATTCCAGCCTCAGGACCCTTGCACAGGCTGTCTCCTCTTTTTGGAATATTCTTCCTTAAAAATCTTCATGGCAGCTGGGCACAGTGGCTCACACCTGTAGTCCCAGCCCTTTGGGAGGCAGAGGCAAAAGGATTGCCTGAACATACGGGTTCAAGACCAGCCTGGGCAATATGGCAAGACCTCGTCTCTACAATAAATCGAAAAAATTAACTGGGTGTGGTGGTGCATGCCTGTAGTTCCAGCTACTTGGAAGGTTGAAGTGGAAGGATTGCCCAGCAAGCAGGTCAAGGCAGCGGTGGCTGTGACTGTATCACCATACTCCAGCCTGGACAACAGGGTGAGACTCTGGCTGAAGAAAGAAAGAAAGAAAGAAAGAAAGGAAGGAAGGAAGGAAGGAAGGAAGGAAGGAAGGAAGGAAGGAAGGAAGGAAGAAAGAAATCGGCATGACTCTCTCCTTTATTTCACTCAGAAAGACCCTCCTTGGCCCCGCTTTCTATGATTGGGTGATGTGAAGAAAATATAGAAAGATTAGTCCCATCACCTGAATCAGCCAGGCGGGGCAGTAACAAACAGCCCCTCATCTCAGTAGTTCATCTCTCACTTACACTACACGCCCATCACAACTTGGCAGGGGAACTCTACATTTTTTTTTTTTTAACGAGTAAGGGCTCTCTCACTCTGTCACTCAGGGCTCAGGTGATCCTTCTGCCTCAGTCTTCCAAGTAGCTGGAACTACAGGTGCAAACTACCATGTCTGGATAATTTTCTGATTTATCGTGGAGATGAGGTCTCTCCAAGTTGCCCAGGCTGGTCTCCAGTCCCTGGGTTCAGGCAATCCTCTTGCCTCCGCCTCCCAAAGTGCTGGGATTACAGGCCTGAGCCACAGGGCCCGGCTTCCAAAAAAAAAAAAAATTTTTTTTTAAATGAAAAAAAGGTTAAAAGGGTACATTTCATGTTTTTTGCATTTTACCTCAAATGTTTAAAAGGCGACTTGACCTTGAATCCCAGTTCAGCCCCTTCCTAATTGTGTGGCTTGAATCTCCCTGTGACTCAGTTTACTAACC